TAAATGTATAGAAATATACTTTGCGAGATAAATACAACACATTCAATTTTTGTCAACAAACTACATATTTATACACAATCATACCTTTCTATGCTCACGATCAGAAATATTATGCACTTCTCGCTCAGGCTGAACAGTATCAATCGTAGGATAGGCTATCTTTCTGTCCAACATTTTCTTTGTTTGAAAGGAGTTGTCTGTGTCTAACTGGTTAACAGTGATGTCTGGACGCTGGAGGTAGAAATGTACCTCAAAATGAGCCGAGCATAATGCCGAATATGGCGATGGCTGCCAGTTAGGTCGATGTCGTTGGACAAACTTTATCCACAAATTTCGCAGAGTTCCTTCAGTCTTAGGGAATCCATGCATGGATATTCCTTGGACGGTGGAGTTATTCTTACAACTGATATTACCAGGTCCACCAGCAACGCAATATTTCCCCAACTGTTTCTTACTTTTTGTACCGCAAGCTCCTTCACGCTTATCTATAGCTGCCATGTTTGCTAGAACGACTCTAACCAGTGACGTCACACATGAAATGTGACCGCGCGTCTAACACGGACGTATAATTGTCAAAAAATGCCACTTTCAGAGTCAAAATAAGGCACTTTCTATATCGCTAAGTCAAAAACGGATTAGCTCACGATATTCAGCCTAAAAAACTCTATCAGAATATCCCAAAAAAAGGGACCCGAAAATTTCGTTTCATAAACACTTTAAAGTAGGATGATCTGAAGGTTGAGGATTTACAAAGGTTAGGTCGGCGTTGGTCGGATGAACTGAAACGAGTAGTGTGAAGGGAAGTTTGAGTGGAATATTGCTCTATATCTACTTCGTAGCCACCAGATTTGCATTTATAGTAAAATGTTAGATCTTTAATTTCAAACCAGTAGGAGATTGGCAGTAAATTTAAACTTTTCAATCTGGAAGAGTACGAGGAATGGTAGTCTTGCGTGATGAACTTTGTTGCCCGTCTTTGAATGCCTTCTATTAGAACGAGGTCTCGTCATTATCCTTGGGGTGACCAAATCGCACTGCCGTAAGACAGGTGAGATCTTACTAATGTCAGATATAGCAGGCGACGGCAGTGGATGTTGGCGAGCTGCGTACAATGGCGTCTTAAGAATCTCGGCATTCGATTGGCTTTTGCAACCACATGGGCAACGATGAATATAGCGAGGTTTTTTTTTATATTTACACTCTTTATTTCTTCATTAGCAAGGTGGTAATTGGCTGGCATAATATTCTTCCTTGTAAACCGCAAAAAGAAATTGTAAATTTGTCACACGATTATTTACAGCACAATATTAATGTCAAAGTAATTGTGATAAATAATAGATATGCACATAAATAATAAGTACATACATAAGATTCATAAATTAAAGGTGACTCGACTCCAAAAATAACTATTGAGAGCTAATCGAGTTGGCTGACCATTCTTGCATCTACAAACTGCGAATTTTTATTAGAATTTCAAGACACAAAAAAACAAACAAAGAAACGACCACGTTTGGCTAAGACAAAACTTGAGCAACTATGAAGTGCAAAAGGACAAATAAATCACAAATCAGATTTCAATTGAAATAATGTAATTAATAAGAATCGAGTACCTTTTCTTTATTTCACGTTTGATGAAACTAAAACTTTGAGACTTAGGACCAAAGTCCACATACCAATTCGATTGCACATCCTTTGGTGATAACAGCATATTAAGAAATATAATTTCAATTTTAAAAGAATGTATAATATATAAACAACCTTCAGCTATAAGCTTTATGCTCCGACGTTTTTTTCAAACCACCATTATACTTTCAAGATCCGCGTCAATGGTTCCTGGTCTGCGAGAGAAAAACTACCCTGGACCAGGTCTTATATTCCCCACACGTCTGGGAAAGGGATTCCTTCCCATTAATGCTAATTTATGTCCAAAAAAATTGTATACATGATAATAGAAGTTACTCCGACTGAGCTACAGGTCAAGTTGGGAGGTTGGGAGCATGATCATGTCGCTGGAATGAACTTCAAGGGTTTTTGATATTTTGAAACTGAATCATAGTTTTGAGTTCGAATTTCAGTCGGGCCAAGTAGAATTTTCTCTACTTTAATGGTTCGTATGGTACCGTTCGTCACTCGAACAACTTCTTATCATTATTACTGTCCACCCGAGTTTACTCTCCCACAACAGTTGAGGTTGTATACAGTGTGACATTGTCTTGTCATTACATACTTGTGTAGAAAAATTTGAGTATGAGAAAAAATATTGCAGTGGTTAAGATGAGAAAAAATCCATGCACAGATATTTCACTAGAAAAAAATACTTGCGCAGCTTGGCTGAAAAAACAAATTTCCAAGCCCCCCCTTCAAAAATCAAATGGTCCGCCTCTAATTTGTTCAAATTTTAGGAAACTTTAAATTAGATCTGGATGCTAATTGGCGAAAACTCTCTTATAACTTGTTTCATTCTTGTGATATTTAACACTTAATTTTGATATGCAATGACTTTCTTAAAAACTTGATATATGACATGAAACTGTGCATATGTGTTGCACAAACAAATGCTTAGACTTGCTATAAGTCGACTTGACTACCACTAATAGACAATTCAATTCCAGCTTTTAGTTTATGCGTGTAGGGGAGGATGGGAAGTAAGATATCATAATGGCGGCTGTGTAAACACGGAGTGATAGCTTACACTTGTAAATCTTGAAATATTTCGGTTGTTTCGGCAGTTTTTATTGAAATTTTTCAGCATAATCAGCAATACGATACCTTACTTCCCGTCACCCCCTGCGCGCATAAATTAAAAGCTGGAATTGCCAATTGACTTCCGCAAATTCCTTACTCTTCAAGAAATTACTTCCTTTAACATTCCGTCGTTCTAACCAAAGACGATCGAAGGACTTCGCCAAAGTCTAACATATGCTGTAAGTCGACAAATTTGAATGATGGATATAGCGCGTAAATAGAAGGCTCTCGCACATTTTGTTTGCATAAAAATTAGCTTTAAAATGACGATAAATCTTGTTACATGCGGTTTCAATTAGCGACAAGAAAAAATAAAAATCGGACTCCAACCCCAAGAATATGCCGGCGTTTGCAGGAAAAAATAGAGCGGATAAAAAGACTGGTGCGAGTAACTAGATTCAAAATTATCGTAGTTTATTCGGAGTTTTTAATTTTTTCTTGGTATTTCAAAATACACTCGCGTACTAGTGAATATAACGGATAAGCTGTAAACTAAAGAAAAATATTTTGAATAAAAAGAGCGATGAAACAAAAACGTGTCAGGAGTGGGATTCGAACCCACGCCCACATTCGTGGACTAGATTGCCCATACTCCAGTATAACTGGAAAGGTGTATACCTTGAGTCTAGCGCCTTGGACCGCTCGGCCATTCTGACTACATGTACAACATGTATTGGTAGACAAAAGAGATAGGTATCAATTTTCACACATCGCCCCCACCCCCCAAATCTTTGTTCGGATCTCAGCTTATCATTGGGGGACAGCGCCCCTCTCCTCTTAGTTACGCCACTGCCGTGTTGATATGACTGCATCTATCTAGCCTCGGTGGGACGAAACTATATGTTAACATGGCGTCTTCAAAATATTTTTTGTTGTGATTAGTTTAAATTAAACAAACTGCATCTTCTATTACGACATAAATAAGATTTTTAGGTCTATTCAGTGATGTCTATATGTTTATCTCTAGCCTCAGTTTTATGGGGGCCTGATTTGCAACGGGCAGGATTTTGGCCTGCCCGTTGCAAATCAAGCCCCCGCCCCCCGTAAAAATGAGGGCCTGCCACGCAGGCTTGTTTATCCGGAGCAAGTACTTCAGTCATTCGGTCTATGAGAAAAGTGAAGCGAAGATGACGGAAATTGACTACCAATAGCTTTGAAGATCTTCAAGTTTTTTTCTAACCATAGTCTTTCGAGATATGGTCTGGAAACTCAGCAAACTTTAAAAGGGGTTAGAATGAGCTGGAATTTTATGTTGAGCCGTACCTTACACCGTGCACATCCTTTGTTTCAGGTTTATTAGCATGGATGAATGACTGAACAGAAACGTTGCTATTGGATGTTTGGTTCATTATACTGAAACACAATGTATTCACTGACCGTGCACCGTCCACAAAACTGCGTAAACGCGAACAAAAACATAGAACAATGAATTTAGCGGAGTTTCCAGACTATGTCTCGAAAGACTATGTTCTATAACGGATCGTATCGCTAACTGAAGTTATCAGCTCGTCAAACCACAGTGTTTTCTTTAAATCGAAGTCAAAATACTCCCCTTGCCCAGCTTCGTGTTAACAGCGCTGACAAAAACAATAGAAAGGGACTGGAACTGACGCCCTCTTTAAGCTCTTCAACATTCTTCCTCAATTTCCGCCATCTTGGCTGCACTTTTAGGGCCTTTTTATATGGAAGCCGGGCTAGCCTGCTTAGCAGCGAGTGAGCCCGGATGAATTTCTTTTGTGCTTGCATTAGAAAATGTTATCGCCCTCTTAAAAATAGCTTGCGGCGGTATCTTTGAACTCTAATCCGGGCAACCGGGCTAGCCCGCTTGTGAGTGTTATATGGAGAAATTTCCATCCCTGTAAGCGAGATCTTGCTTCTTTCAAGCGAAATCTCGGCAACTCGGCCAGCCCACTTGTCCATACAAACGCACGATAACTTTTACTATAAAAATATCTACACTGCGAGATCTTGCTTACTGGGCTGTCTCGCTTAGGGGCCCAGCCCGGCTTCAATATAAACAGGCCCTAACTAGACTCGAGTTCTCGCTCCAGATATATATGAAGCTCAGTGGAACTGAATGAAAGATTATACGTTCGGTGATTGAATTTTTGCGGAAAGGTCAACTCTTTCCTGCCTTTTTGGTGTGCCACAAAACGCCAATAAAAACATTTCAACTCAGTTTATATTTTAGGACATTAATTAAAAAGGAATGAGCATGTGCAATATCCATATCGTCAAGGCAGATATCCACACGATTCCTGGAAGACACTTGTGTTAAAAACGACCAAGATAAAGGATATGACGTCTTTAGAAGAATGAAATGGAAAACTTGTAAAAAATAGACGAACGATGAATTACGAAAATTTTGAGCGTATTTTTAAAAACAAGCATTAAAACTGCACTATAAGATACTAACCACCACCTACCCTACAAACATTGCTACATTGGGTCTTTCAATTTAATATCCGAACCACCTATGTCTCCTATCGATGACCGACATAAATATGGCATAGTGCTCATTCCCAGAGGTCACTCTTTCTTTAAAACCATATCTGGGTTATATGTTGAAATGATTCCTATTGGTCACTGTAATTTTTTGTAATCTCCCCCGGACTTCCAATATAGATTATCCGATTCCGGCAGGTAAAATTTTGACAAAGGCTCACAGAAAATCCTTGGGTTTGGATAAAATCAGAAAAATAACTAAAGTTATATAAAGGAAAGAGTTTAGCCTTTACTTTTTCGAATAAATGTTAACTGACCATTTTTATCTCAGTACTTTCTTAAATATCTACAGTGTGGCCAAAATGAACAAACTGTTTTGCGGCTGTCTTTCGAGGATTCAATGATACAGTATATGTTATCTATGACTTTATACTGAATGCTTTAATGATACTCTCACTTTGTATAAGTTGTCTAATTCTAGCCTCCTCCGCAGTCATTTCGTAGTTCACTTACTTTACAAATTTACCTGCAAGAAATTTTGCTCGATAATTTAAAGGCGATGCGTGCGGAGGTGGCTAGTCTAATTCAATAATTGAAACATCTATAAATTGATAAATACAGCAAAACAAGTTACCAAAAAGTCTATGTCATTTATCTTGGTTATGTTACGATAAATGTGCTCATAGTTAAACCTTTGTAATTGAGTTGTTTGTTTGTCCGTTTTTTTCCTGTGAGCCAAGACAAACGATAGGAATTCAAACTAAACTAAATATTGATGTATCAGTCAAGCATCCAAGCAAAGAAAACAGAAGCAAATGAATAATTCATTTATATATTATATTTATCAATTATTTAATCAATGAATTAGTGTGTCAAACAAGGAAACTATCTGGGAGGGGGGGGGGAGCAAATATTCATATATTTGTGTTCTGCTTTATTAATTTCTTTGAAATCAATTGTTTTTATGATATGTGAACACGAATATATGAATATTTGCCCCTCCCCCCCCCCAATTATCGTTCTGGCTACGGCACTGGAAGCAAAAGAAGAAAAAAAATCAGTGCACAAGGATTTTTTGACGGAAAGAGTTGAGTGAAAATTTCGTCAAAAATGTATTAATGCCATAATTGATATAACTAAGGCACTGTTATTGACTTTGAAACTATTAGTATTATTCATGTGGATAATACAAAAGAAGTTAATGTTAAATCAATGTTCGTAAATTGAATAAAGATTTATCGTGATTTACATAAACTTCAGATTTGAGTTTCTAGGCTTCGGTTCAAGTTTGTATATCAGATAAAGAGCGAGTGCTCATGTTTAACTAGTACTTAACGCATTTGACATTCAATCTACAATAGTTTTATATACATCTTTATACTCATGAAATATAATATTATCTATAACTATATTTATATACATTGTAGTTGGTAAAAGCAATTTGATTGGCTAAGAGCTTACAGTTAAATCGCGCAATCACGCAACGTACAGAACATTCAGCTATCTGCTGGCCGGGCAGATAACTGAGTTATCTGCAAATGAGCCTGCGATGATTAGCAAGCGGTATCGATTTAACACAAACAAATGTATAATAAAACAATTATTGAATTCGGTTTTTGCGATACGCAAAATTATCAAGGTCTCGGTAAGCGTTATCAGCCTCGCGCTTACCTCGACCTTGAAAATCACAAAAACCTTGCCCAATATTTGTTAAATATTTGAAAATTTGTGCACTCGCATGCTACACGCTGTTAGAAAATTCTTTAATTAAGATTCTTGCATACCGTATTTCTCGATTGAGCACCGCCCCCGATTGAGCGCCGCCCCCGATTGAGCGCCGTCCCCGAATAAGCGCCGCATTTGAGATCAAATTTTTTTAAAGAGCGCCGCCCCAAATGAGCGCGCCACTAAACAGTGAAAAAACTTTTCGCCGACAAAATGGAAACATTTAGTGACAGAGACATTTAAAACTCGGTTTATTTTACTGTTAAAAGTTCTTGTTATAATTCACAAAGAAAATCTTTTTTAAAGAGCCCCGCCCCCGATTAAGCGCCGCCACCGAATGAGCGCCGCATCTGAAGCTCTGAAAATTTAAAGAACGCCGCGGCGCTCAAACGAGTAAATACGGTAAATTTTGCTAGTTGTGTTTCAGTGCATGCATGTCAGATCATGGTAATTGGTATTCATATAAACCAATCATGGCGATCAAGATTATTTATCAATTCAACTACCTGAAAATTAAAATAAGAAGAATTTCGAGCCTACACAGTAAAAACAAATTGGTTAAAATGACCAAAAAAAATTGGTCGTTTGAATGCGTCTGAGACAACCAGTTTAAATTGGTCGTTTTAACCAAAAAATAATTGGTCAAATTGACCATTTATTTAATTGGTCAAATTGACCAATTATTTATTGGTCAAAACAACCGGAAATAATTGGTTGTTTTGACCAATAAAGAAATGGTCAATTTGACCAATTAATTATTTGGTTAAAAAGACCAATTTGAACTGGTTGTCTCAGACGCATTCAAACGACCAATTTTTTTTGGTCGTTTTAACCAATTTCAAATGACCAAATTAAAATTGATTAAACATTTAAATTGGTTAAAATGATCAAAATTGCATTCCATTTCGCCATTAAACCATTCAAAACGTGCTTGAAAAACAATAATTTATTAACAAATAAATATTAAAATTAAAATACAAAATCAATATACAGTATATCAATATAATAACTTATGGGGATGAAACGTCACACGAAACCTCTCTGACTGTAAATATTTCTACAATATTTACTCGTCGAAGGCTATCAAGTCATATAGCCAAAACTTGTGAAAATAAATATTTACATGCATGCATGCAGTCAGAGAACCATTTCATAGTTCACAGCGGACTCCGTTTGACCGTAAATTCTAGAGCCAAAGGGGCGGGATTACAGTTGGATTTAGAGAAATGTGGCGGATAAACAAGAAAGGCCGTTGTTTTCAAAACGGAAAGCCCATTTCTGCAAACAGAGATGTAATATTGTAGACGAAATCAAATTTTAGATTTTGTTGATGTAGCGATGAACTATATTTGTAATGTGCAAGTCAGGAGAAGCAAATGCGAAGGCCTTTATCGTGATATTTTTCTCCTCTAACAATCCTTTTATTTGAAAGTTGAAGTAAGACGACGAGAAATCAACTTCCGTGTCGTCAACTTCGGTTGTAAGACGTGCATGTTTCGAATCCATCGTAAGAGAAACTCATTAGATTTTCTTCTATCATAAAAACGAGCGTTGCTCTCTTTGCAGCATAATAGTCGTAAATAATTAACTTTCACTATGGACATAGTTATCGACAACTTTATTTAGCAAAAACAACAGTGGCAACGAAGTGCATGGCACGCATTAAACGGCTTCTATCTATTGCGCGCCAACTGTAATCCCGCCCCTTAGAAATATTGTCATTGTCAGCCCAACGTGCTTTGCGAACGCATGCTGCTAGATCATGTTGTTTTACTTGGAGAAGATGGGTTGATCTTTGTGATTGATAATTTTGGAGGATGATATGGAAGTTGATTTGTCAAATAAAAGGATTGTTATAAAAGGAGAAAATATAACGACAAAGGACTTCGCATTTGATTCTCCTGGCTTCCACATTACAAGTAGTTCATCGTTATACAGTGGGGGTCAAAAGCATTGGCGTACTACGCAAACCTTCATTTTGGAAGGGGGGGGGGGCAAACTCATGCAAGGCATGACACCGTCTTGGGCGGGGGGGGGATCGGGGGCCTGCACCCCCAAGAAAATTTTAAAATCTAGATCCCCTGAAATGCGATTTCAAGCATTTTGGGAGTGAAATCTTGGACAATTCTGAAAATTATTTTCCCAGACATTTCTCCTTGGAGTTAAATAAGTTGGAAAAGTCACCTTGAAAAGCCACCTTATACGCCACTGGTCAAAAGTCTGAGTCCAGTCAATATGATCTTGCCTTTTTATATTGATATACAATACATTTTGACACAACACACTCCTATATGTGCAACAAATAAGCCGAATAATACCGTTGGAATTGATTATACTATATTAGCCAAGTGAATATTATATTGATATTTGTGCGACCTCCTTTTGATTTTAAAACAGCTTAAACTCTTCCTGGCATACATGTAGACTGAACAAATTTTGATGGTTTTTTTCTTAGTATTTAATATGGTTTTTCTTAGTATTGATGGTTTTCAAGGTTATTCCAGAACTATTGATTAACAACATGCTATTGGTTGGCTGCTTTTAATTGTGGGATTATGTTTCACTTTTCATAAATTCTCAATAGGATTTAAGTCTGGCTAGAAGTTGAGGCAGAAATCCAGAACAACCAGATCACACTATACCATCTACAGTAGCTCAAGGTTGTGTGGAAGGAGATTTGTCTTGCAACGGATAATGATCCGAACCACCCTTCTCACATGTGTAAAAATTATTTAAGAAGAAAGCATGAGAAAGGCGATTTAGTTGTTACAAAATTTTCTTCCTCAATCTCGGGACATAAATCCCATTGAGAATTTATGGGACCATTTGAAACAAGAGAAAGTGAAACATGATACCACAAGTAAAGACAACCTACTGTATAGCATGTCCTTAATCAATGCTGGAATAACCCTAGCCAGTAGTACTTATAGAACTCTTGTTGAACTATGCCAGAAAGAGTTAAAGCTATATTCTAAAATCAAAAGGAGGTCACACAAAATAATGTTCACTTGGCTAATATTAATTATAATAAAATCAATCCCAACATTGATGGAAATCCTAATTTGATGCACATACTGCATATAAATTAATGCTTTGTTGTGTGAAAATATATTGTATAAAAATATATCTATCGGTCAAACGGAATCAACTGTATGTATGCGATACCCTTGAACATGCATGCATGCTTGCAATGTTCTATTTCATAAAAGAAATTAAGTGTTCAACTGGCATTAGCAACATGCATGTAAGTCTCTTCTTTCCACTGCAGGGAATAAGAATATGTTCCAAAAATAAAAACACATTCTTACTGTGTGAAGTTACACCTTCAGCACTATACACATACAATATGCAAACAAAATACAGAACACAAAATGACGATAAATAATAAATAATTTATTATTTATCGTCACTATAACGTTAATTTTGTGCTCTCTGTTTAGGCTAGCTACCATTCTACTTCATATATCTTCCTTATACGCTCGAAATTCTCCTTATTTTTCAGGTAGTTCAATCCGTGCCAACGAAAGCTTGTTCGTACTTTAATACACAACTTTATATTCATGAAATGTTATATTATCTACAATTACATTTGCAAAAGGAAAACACTTTTGTGTTTACGTAGCGCAATCCATGTGTGCATGCTACCCGCTGTTGGCAATTGTTTAGGGAAATAATTGTTAAAATTCTTGCATAAATTTAATTATTATCTTTTGTAAATTTAACTAGTGTATCAGGAATCTGTCTATATATTTGATACCGAAATCTTGGACCTTTTGGACTAACCGGGTTGATTCAACATCATTACTGATATTGGAATGTATGTAATATCTCTTTTTACGATTTAATCTACGTAATTTGCAGGTATTGAGCAAAGGACGTGATCGCTGCTTTCAGAATTTGCTTACAATGATAATTCCGACACAGCGGCTAAGACGCAATAGTAAATATATAGGCCAACTTTTAATATATTTCGGCCATATTTTATTAGCTTGTGATCATAATTACTTTACTGATGATATATCTATAATCTATATATATGATTATTTTCTGTATACTACATTTCGTGTACATGCAGTTAATAAATAGTTAGTGGATGAGATGTTTATGATAACGAGCCGAACGCGAGGCAGATAGCTAGCAGATAACAAGAGTTGATAATTTCAGATTATATCACAACTGTTTTATTATATATATAAAATATTTTATTTTTGTTATACACCTTCAACGTACAAATAACGCTTTGTCATACCAAACAACAAAAGCGGAGCAGCGACAATTGAAGATTTATAATATCTCATTACAGTCAATTCAAAAAAGGTTGTCCTTTGCAAACTTTAAACTCTAAGGGTGTAAAGCTTAAACTCTAAGGGTGTATAAAAGCTTAATGGGAGCGTCATTTAATCAGTTTAGAAATCATACATTAGGCCATTTCTTAGATACATGGTAAATATCTCCTTATGAGAACAATTCATTCACAAATAGCTGCAAGATTCAACTTCTAAGCTCGAAACTTGTGCTCCCCATTAAGCTCTGCGGCCTTAGAGTTTAAGGTTTATGGTTTGAGTTTAAGGTTGGAAAAGGACAATCTTTTTTAAATTAGCTGTATACTAGAGGGCATTCAGATATATACTGCATACCACCACAAATTATGCCACGTATCATGCATAAATTATACAATGGGCTAAGTACGCATTCAGTTTGCTCTGCCCAAGAAAGGAAGACAAACGTTTGCTTATTAATTTTCATGCACCAAATTGAATTACGATTAAATCTCTAGAATATTTCTAGCAGCCCCACAAATGTTAGTGTTAATACGTGCGTAGGGTTTATATCTTTTGAGTTATCGTGGCGAGAGACATGTCTGATTTTTGCACAGAAAATATTCACAAAAACGCTGTTCTTTCATACGCTTTTTTCGTCTATGTAGAACTGCTGCTTGCTACAATCTTGGACATTACTGGTTAAGACTATTTTTCTCCCTGTAGAAAATTCACATATTTTTATTGCAAACGCCATGTTGAAATAACAGAATCATATTGCCCTTATTAGCCCCCCCTGCTCCCCGAACTAAATGTTGAGCTTGTGTCATGGTAGCCTATATTTCCAAAAGTTGTTTCGGCGTTATTTACAACATTGAACTGGAGACAAAGTTTGTTTTGTCAATGTTCAACTACTTTGTAATATTGGCTGTAATAGTCTCAAGGGTTATATTCGAGATTGTAGCTATAAAATCAGATATACATCTGGCTCAACCTACAGATGACAGTTCTCTCGGCTAGCAGATAACGCGCTTTTATCTGTAGGTCACACGATTTCCGTATTTAACTCTTAGCAGAAGAAATATAACGACTGCAGCCTATTATAACTAGAAATACACACATGACATTTTTTTATTCGTTTCTCCCGAGGCTTTGTACCCGCCTGCAAACCGTAGACTTGAAGGTCGAGGCCGATAATCTTTCTTGTGCATGTAAACTGGACAAACGAGTTGCCCATAGTCACGTGGAAAGTGTGTGCGCTTGTGCAGTTATTTCGTGGGAAAGATGGCTGACAAGACATTGTCATACAGTATTACAACTGTATATTTTAGCATCTTTTTGGCAATTATTTTAACAAAATGTGAGACTTATTTGCCTATATATTGATTCAAACACATATTCAAAGCGTGGAGGAACGACACAATTCGTTAGAATTCTTAAGAACGGCATTAAGTGAACGAGCATGGATCAAGACGCCAATATATTCAAGATCGAATCATAGCACGAAATACCGATATCTTAATAGTTTGGAAAACTAAGATTAATAAATTTCTGGACAACATGTCGTTGCCAGTATGTAATGTTTATAACTTGAGTATATATTTGTAGTTTAAAAAAACAGCGAGGTTACCCTGTTGCCTATAGCTATATTGATTGAGAACATTATCCATTCAGGTATGGGCAATGATGGTAATGCTGAATGGCTCGCATATGTAACTTATATTAATATGTTCTTTAACGAGTAATCGACCTTCATATTGGAAATTACAAATCTTATAGAAAGCCCACTGACAATCCGCAATACAAAATTAAGCATCAAATCATCCACCAACCGCAATAAACTGCTACCTACACCGCTTAACAAGCGCCTGTTACTTCTCTCGTCGAATATGGGTAAACATTTTAAGAAAATGCCACCATTTACCAAAATTCACTATGGCACAGTAATTTCAACCACAAACTAAGCCACATGCAGCAAGTACCACAACTAACATTCAAAAGCAGACACCATAATACCGTTTGTATAACCATGTAACAAATTCTCTCAGGAAAATTATATTACAAAAATCCCGGACATACCAAAATCCTTTTTCCCTTTCTAACTGCTCCAATGTAAAATTAGAAAGATAATGTAAAACTATCCCGGTTGCCAAAACCGTTGCTAAAATACGCAAACCCAACAGGTGGTCTGAACCGATTGCCTCTGAACAGAAATACGCAAATAAAAGGAATTATGCCAATATTTTAAGGATACTGAACTCATGAACATCAAAGCCATATTCTCCATGTAAACCACGGTGTATTAACATTGGAATGCCAAGCAGAAACAGGAGTAACAGTAACAGAATGAATTTCGAGTAATAGAATTCCCTTCCACTAATGTGGATAACTGTCAAAACTGTTTAAAGTACTAATGCAATTTTTATGATTGCATTGCTATAATTGTAATTGCAATTGCTACAATAAATTTGTCACACGATTATTTACAGCACAACATTAATGTCAAAGTAATTATGATAAATAATAGATATGCACATAAATAATAAGTACATACATAAGATTCATAAATTAAAGGTGACTCGACTCCAAAAATAACTATTGAGAGCTAATCGAGTTGGCTGACCATTCTTGCATCTACAAACTGCGAATTTTTATTAGAATTTCAAGACACAAAAAAAAACAAAGTAACGACCACGTTTGGGTAATACAAAACTTGAGCAACTATGAAGTGCAAGAGGACAAATAATTCACAAATCAGATTTCAATTGAAATAATGTAATTAATAAGAATCGAGTACCTTTTCTTTATTTCACGTTTGATGAAACTAAAACTTTGAGACTTAGGACCAAAGTCCACATACCAATTCGATTGCACATCCTTTGGTGATAACAGCATATTAAGAAATATAATTTCAATTTTAAAAGAATGTATAATATATAAACAACCTTCAGCTATAAGCTTTATGCTCCGACGTTTTTTTCAAACCACCATTATACTTTCAAGATCCGCGTCAATGGTTCCTGGTCTGCGAGAGAAAAACTACCCTGGACCAGGTCTTATATTCCCACACGTCTGGGAAAGGGATTCCTTCCCATTAATGCTAATTTATGTCCAAAAAAATTGTATACATGATAATAGAAGTTACTCCGACTGAGCTACAGGTCAAGTTGGGAGGTTGGGAGCATGATCATGTCGCTGGAATGAACTTCAAGGGTTTTTGATATTTTGAAACTGAATCATAGTTTTGAGTTCGAATTTCAGTCGGGCCAAGTAGAGTTTTCTCTACTTTAATGGTTCGTATGGTACCGTTCGTCACTCGAACAACTTCTTATCATTATTACTGTCCACCCGAGTTTACTCTCCCACAACAGTTGAGGTTGTATACAGTGTGACATTGTCTTGTCATTACATACTTGTGTAGAAAAATTTGAGTATGAGAAAAAATATTGCAGTGGTTAAGATGAGAAAAAATCCATGCACAGATATTTCACTAGAAAAAAATACTTGCGCAGCTTGGCTGAAAAAACAAATTTCCAAGCCCCCCCTTCAAAAATCAAATGGTCCGCCTCTAATTTGTTCAAATTTTAGGAAACTTTAAATTAGATCTGGATGCTAATTGGCGAAAACTCTCTTATAA